TTCACCTCAGTTAGGATAACGCATATTCACGTCTCACATCTCACTATTTTTAATATAGCGTACCAAACGCGGGTAACGTGAAACTGCCATCGTTCCATCTACTGTTACCTGAGTCCCGTATCCCGTGATAACTAAAACACGCTAGCTCCATTTCCGTCCAGTTAGGCGTTAACCTAAAACACTACCTATCCAAAGAGAAAACATAGGGAAATCGTCGAGTAGTTCATGTGATAAGCGAAGAAGAAGAATAGATTTTAGGAAGAAAGATACGGATGAATCTCCTACTTCACTGTATCTTATCAAATTTGGCCACACGGGCTCTCTCGGCATAGCTCAGGTCCAAAAGCAAGAGAACCAACTTGGCGTCAGAGCACAGCAGGAGAAGACTGCTGCTGCGATCGAAGCGGGAATGGAGGCACAACGCCGTATCGCAACATAGAAATCGATAAGCGCGGGAAAAGGAGAAGTGAAAGGCCAAAGCAAGATAATAAGTAAGCTACAGAGCTTTGTTCAGTTCCTCGTCTTGAGTGTCCTTTTCTCACTAATAATATATAGAGACGAGATAAAATGAGGAGAATAAGTAATAAAAAGTTAGAGTAAATGAGATGAAGTGAGCCCGTTATGACCGCAAGAGAGTCATTTAGGCCTGTTGTGTCATAAATACTTCTTATTGGAGTTGAATATTAACACATTGGTATTATTAAGTGCAAGCACGATGAGACATACCCGGCGTCAGTGAGGAGAAGAAATGAACAGAAGGGATGTAATGGGCAGTGGGATACGCGCGGTTTTTTCAGTTTTTCTTCATCTCTGAATTCAACAGGTTTAAATTGTCAACTGTTATAGTGGAAAAATCGATTTATACTCTATGAGTTATCTAGTTTTATTGTTTTTTTGTTTGCTCCGTTTAACATTAGCGTAGTTACATATTTACTGAATTATATCTATTAGGTATTACGTCCTCAAGCTCCATTTAATCATGTGCTTGTGGCTGGTGTTAATATAATTTCCCACAGTTGTGTACTGCCATTTACCGCGCCATGTCGTCATTAATTTTGGCCCCTGCTATTGTCCCTAGTCCAACCCTTGGCAGTAAAAAAACTTCTATATTTTTAGATATTCCACAAAATTTACTCCTCTTGTTCCTCAACTTATGCATCATACTCCGTCTGGGATAACATATGAATGTCTTTTATGATCTAATATCTGTGCGCTCTCTAGTCGAACTGCATTTTAGTATGGCGGCGAGAATTGGGGCACTAGGAGTCTCATCACTGAATGTCTGGTGTTTAGATGAGAAGAGCTAGGCAGAACTCATATATACCAACTCGATGTGTAACTTGTTCAATGTATTATAGTAGATATCCTAATGAATTTCATTCTCTATCTCACTGAATCCCTCTTCACTACTTAATACCTTCTATAAGAGCTCGATACTCACTTATTTTTACAAATATATCGCAGACTTCTGTAGAGTTATGACTAGTGACACGTGATTTGGGTAATAAATGGTTCATAATGCTTTATATAAGATTACGGCTATATGTTAATGTTTTTCACAAAAAACCGCTGAGTCATATATAGAAGGTTGATATCTTATATCATAGATCCATAATCACTTCAGTGTCAAATATCATTTATTCTACACCGAGATTTTGTTCAAGTGGACATGTTTGTGTCCATTAATTGATAGACTTATATTTGAATAGTATACCTTATAATAGCTTACAATCCAACAAATATTTTTAGGTAATAAATGTTTTCCCATAAAATTAAATTAAAATATCTACATAATTTTTTTTTGTTTTTAAAAGGTTACGGAATTTTTATCTGATACACAGAAAGATATAGAGAATATATTATTCTCGATATAACCTTCATTATTTAACAAACTTTTAACATTACACTTCACAGAAAGGAGACTGATATTATAATTTTAAATGGAAAAGATAGTAAGACACCACTAAAAATTATTACTATATAGAATATAGAAACAAATTTTAATGTTTAACAAAATAGCCATAAAATGTGATTCGTATAAACAAGATTTTTGTAGATAAGTGAGACGAAATCTTACATTATATTAGCGATACGGCAAACTAGCGACCGAGAATAGGGTTTGGTAAAGTTTGGAAAGTGATCATGGAGCTCCGTACTGAAAGCTATAGTTATAAATCGTCGACGGCTTATTCTCGGGATTTCAGAGTGACTTGGTTATTCATATGAGGCCTGGATGTGCCTATAGCTTATAGTGAGTCTATCAACGATCATACTGTCGTTTTGTCACCCAATATGGAATCATAGAAATAACTCAGTAACCTGATACTGCGACTTACACTATATGGAAGTTGTGAAGCTTTTTTTCCCCCAAAATTAATCATTGCGATCTCTTTTTGTTTATATGTAATGTATGAGATTATATATTAAGCAGGAGTGGAATAGATAAAAAACAAACGCGTTTGAGAATAAATTTATAAAAAAATGGAGATAAATTTTTGTGTGTACATTTGTTCTCTAAAGCAAATATTGCAACCGTAAATTTTTCTCTTACCGTTTTCTTGTAAATCGATGATTTAGCTTAACATTCCACAGTCAACATTCCATAGGACAGTCAGGCTTAGAGCAGACTCGGAGTGACCGGCAAAGTATAAGATGAATGGGTCGCTGTGTCGCATTCCAATCAAAGGAAAAATTGGAAGGGGAAAAATTTTATATGCTTTGTGGAAATCTTTGATGCAATAGCCATTTCGTTTATATTGATATCTTCTTTCTCATTTTATTTTATTTCTGTCAAGTCTATTCTTAGCTATGTATAATTCTGTTTTGTATTTACATGTGTGCTCTCTGCTATCTCTGACCTCTTTCTAGAAAAGATGAAAGTGAGTAAATAAGCGTGTACAATCTCAGATATATCCGCTTGAGACTGGTCTCTGGTCTTATTTCCAATGCAGAGATCACAACACAAGGGGTTACCTGCTTTTTATTTGAGGAATTGAAGTGTTTCGAGTATGTCTTTGGGACGATAACCCGATATTGAAAATAAGGAGGCTGAATAAAGTTCGCATCTGATTGCTCATAATGTTTTGTTCGTTTTTGATTTTTCTATATTCACACTATGGATTTCCCGTCAGCATCTCATATATCTCACGTCCGTGATCTAGTGGTTTTCTATTAGGCTTATAAGTGGTATTGTGAATTTGTCCTGTATTTGTCCGTCTAAAGTTGTCTCTCATATCTTAATTGTTTCGACGGCTTATGGGTTAACCCTTGACCTAAGTAGAATTTTTAAATTACGTTGTGTTGGGAGGTGTTTTTCTGACATTATGTTTATTTGTATAAAGCCATTACATTCAAAAGCTTCGGAGAGATGAGACTATTACCTCAAAGGAAGTTGATTTTGCATATATTTCTTATCCTTTACGAAGAAATTATTTTAGACACCGAGTACGCAGCTCAAGCCAGCACTGTAACTTAGATTACTTTTGTCGTTTACTTTATCGATATCGTGTTGTCGGAGTCCACAACGCACTTCTTGTAGAAGATCAGGGAACAATGGCCTTATTATTATAGAAATGTGTTTGGCGATAACTCATAGCTTTCGATAATGGCTGGAGTTAGGCTTTACATGTTGAAATCACTTCGCAAGTCTACCGGCTGCTCTTTTGAACACAGTTTTTTCAGTCGTATATGTTCTTCGTGGAAATTTGTGAAACATTAATCAAACTGATCCTGGCGTCTATAATATTATCACCAGTCATAATCTCCTTTAGTGAGAGAGCTCGACGCGTGAATTACACCATTCCCGTTAAGCGAAATATCGAACTAAATATTCTCATATATTAATTACTTTTTTCGCAGATCTGAAATAATTGGGTATGAGTCGGGAGAGTGTATTGTAAACAGACACTTTAGATTTTCAATAAATGTAAACCTAGACATGTTATTGAGAGCAGATGAACCCCCATATGCTCAATGCATTCTTGTTCCGAAATCAACCCCTCGTATACGAAGCAATCAACAGATGAGGGGGTGCTACTGAAGACCAATCTATTGAGTTTTTGTCTAGCCGAATACATAACTCACTCCAAACTTTTTGAGTGTTCAAGCGTCGTGCTACAGAGATTAGCCTTTCTATCCTAAACTATTAAAGTGGCGTGCAACATTGCTCAATTGGAGAATCCAGTCGAGTATATTATCGTGTCTAGTTCCAAGCTGAAAATCGACTCATTACCAGCTCGCGCAGTAGCAGAGAGTAGCATTGAGAGTGTTTGGACGGAGTGGGTTCGCTATCTGTGAAGATGCGACAAAGTCTCTAAGCGAGTGAGAGTGAGGATTGAGAGAGTGTTGCAGATGGATGCACGAGAGTCCCACCACAACATAGTCATTATCGCTGTGGCATTAATGAGAGGTGTAATGCACGACTAAGAGAAAGAAGCATCACATCGAAATGTGAGAGACTTATTTTAGTTTGAATCGGACCTTATAAGATTTTCGTTATATCGTTTCTGTATTTCTCATATATTTCTCATCTATCTATTATATATATTGTGTTCTGTGTTGTGTTGTACTTTGCATGTACTATATATTTGCTTGGTTGGTGATGCCTAGGCTTTTCAGGAGATTTCACATGTACGGAAATCCATCTGAAGAGCAAGTTCCATACGAGAAAAGTTTTTTGGGTGCTCTGGAGGACCCAGTGCGATATCTGGTTACTTTCATGGCATTTTCACAAAGGGTGTGCTATCCACACATCCCTTTTTACTTCTTCCACACCCCTTGTTAATTTATGTTCTTTGATCTTCTTCAATTCATCCGATCCGACGGACAAAAATTAAAATTGTGTGAGAGAAGTAAAACAGGGTGTGTGGATATCACATCCCTTTCACAAGGGTTAGTGATTCCAACTTCCACTATATGCTTCATAATCATATATTATTTTATTTGCATTTTTGTTTCTCAAGTGCTAAACGACTAAGACGACTTTGATTTGTAGTGGCATCATGGTAGCACCGACCACTATAACTGCTCAGTATCTTGCACCAGCATGGAGAGGTGCAGTTATCCTTTCATTTGTGTGGTTTCTACATCGGTGGAAGACAAATGTGTTCACTCCTGCATTAGCGACTCAAAGTTTGCCTGGTCTTGATCGGGACCAGTTGCTAGCTATTGACAACATTTCATCCGTTGGTCTTTTTGTGATTGGGATAATGGCTTTAGCTGAGGCGTGTGGGGTGGCGGTGCAATCAATTATGACAGTTGGTGGCATAGGAGGTGAGGATTAGCCTTTACTTGCATAGTCTTTTTATCTCTATTACATTCATGAAAGTTAGAAAAGTCGGCAAATAAAATTTTAAATTTGCTCTTCTCGTATATATGAGTTATAAATTATAATATGTAAAGATAGTATTGGTTTTAGATTACAATGAAGGATTTTATGTCATCTTCATATTTGGATGCTCTTTTTATGATTTAACCACTATTTAGTTGATGTCGTTAAATAATAATCATAACAGTAATGTTATTCTTACCACATTAATATACTACATTAGTGTACCACATTATGTGGTATCTGATGTGACTGTCCACATCATATAAATTAATTATAATTTAATTTAAATTAAAAATCATTTAATAAACCAATACTAAAAAAAAATCTAGAATTAAATGGTGATTGTGGCATACTTCCTTCCTTCCCCGTTGCTTCTTCTCCCATTTCTTCTTCCACGCCATTTTTTTTATTTCAGCCCAAATTTTTTTTCAGCAGCCTCGCCATTAATGGAAGCTGACGAAGTAATGGAGCTATACGATTCTTTCTGGTCTGAGATCCGGATCTTCAAGAAACAACTGGTTTCATCGAACCCGTCAAATTTCGAAGAACAGCCAGATCATGAAATCGAAGAAAACCCAGGTGACTTTTCCTTATAACATTTGCAGGTGACTTTTCCTGATAACATTTGCAGGCAAGCATTTGAGCAAAGCAGCATGGTGTTGCTGGTGAAGATATCAATTAATATGTAAGAAGTTGACAATAGCAGCAGACAGGTCATCTGGGCACACTGTATAATCTTCTACGAAGATTTGGTAGGTTTGGTTTGGTCCACCAGGACCATAATTGGTGCAGTGATGATATTCTTCTAAATCAAACCATAAATTGTGGAAATTTAAGACTAACTAATTCTTAATCATGCATTAGGACCCTCTAGAACCCACTGCATAATGATCAGTTAGCTGAAACGTATGATGAAGATATGTCTACCTATAAAATGTTTCATGCAACTCACTGAAAAATAATGGTAAATGTTTACCAATAATCCAAATAAGGGAGCGTCGATGAATTTTTATCGTATGAGAATTAGTTGAGATTGTGGTATCCACACTAATGTGAAAAAATCTGGGCTGAAACAAAAAAATGGCGTGGAAGAAGAAATGGGAGAAGAAGCAACGGGGAAGGAAGGAAGGAATGAGAAGACTTCTCGTATGCCACAATCACCATTTAATTTCAGATTTTTTATTTATTATTGGTTTATTAAATGGTTTTTAATTTAAATTAAATTATGATGTGGACAGCTACATCAGATGTTACATAATATAGTACACTAATGTGATATATTAATGTGGTAAGAATAGCATTACTGTAATCATAAACTGTGTAATATAAATACCTTGCCTTTTTCAGCGCTGCACTTAATGCAGGAGTTGCTACTGCTTTTGCTGCCAGAGACATCCTTGGAAATGTTCTGAGTGGTTTGTCTATGCAGTTTTCAAAGCCTTTTTCACTAGGAGATACAATAAAAGTATGTTGCTACGTGTTTGTTGGTGCATTTAGGTACTCATTTCCATTTGGTCTTCTTCACAGGCAAATTTTTTCTTAAAAGCATAGGTTTCTTGTGATTCTAGTAGTAGAACTGTGCCATGAGTATCATCGGTTCTCAAAACTTGAGTACCATAACAAGATTAAGGAGGTATTCAGGTTGCACGAATTACCGTGTCAGCATGCCCAGAGTAGAGTTGCATAGTTAAATTTTCATTTTTTGTTGACGTTGCAAAATTGTGTAATCTTTCCATGTATCAAGCATCTTTAGTAGTCCCTTGGGTGGCTACATTGTACAGTGATCTCAACCCATCATTGAATGGAATAACACTTATTTCTGAATGGATCAAGATTTAATGTTCTTCAGAATGCAACTACTTTATGCTTATTTCTCTATAACATTCATTACAAGTGTATAAATTATTAGCCAAACATAATCATAGATTTATTCATACAGTAATATGTGTTGGAAAATATTAGTATTTTGGTTTATTTGAATGTTTGGTTTTATGGGCTTAGCCCGTTAGAATTAGGTTTTGTTAGAGATTAGGGTTAGTTTATTATAAATAGGATGCTTTGTTATTCATTAGAGAACAAGTTAGCCACAATGTAGTCTCTTAGGGCTTTGTAGCCGTTTTGGCATTCTCAGTTTGTTTAATAATATTCTTATTATTTGTTAGTCTTGTTCGTTGCGAACTCTTATATTCAACTTGGTATCAGAGCAAGTTCGATTCTTCGGAATTTAATCTGTTCTAGATGGGTATCAATTTGTTCATCCGTTTGTCCGCTACGTATCAGTTTGTTTGGAAGTTCGCAATTGGCATCAGCATCGGCATCGGCATCGACATCAGAATTTGAAGGCTTGCATCCACATCTACTTGTTGGCAAACTCATGTTGTGTACCGTCATGAGTTTGACGGGGGTGTTGGAAAATATTAGTATTTTGGTTTATTTGAATGTTTGGTTTTATGGGCTTAACCCGTTAGAATTAGGTTTTGTTAGAGATTAGGGTTAATTTATTATAAATAGGGTGCTTTGTTATTCATTAGAGAACAAGTTAGCCACAATGTAGTCTCTTAGGGTTTTGTAGCCGTTTCGGCATTCTCAGTTTGTTTAATAATATTCTTATTATTTGTTAGTCTTGTTCGTTGCGAACTCTGATATTCAACTATATGAACTGTCATTCATTGGATAGACATTATACCATCTGTGTGTGTTTGTTCTGACTCAATGATTTCTGGTATTTTGTGTGATATCTAATGTACTATCTGCTTCATCTTTTTGGTATTTTGTTTCATCACTGCGTTAAAAATGTACTTATTGCAGGCTGGATCTATAGAAGGTCAAGCGGTGGAAATGGGACTTCTACTACTTGTTTACTGAATGCCGAGAAGTTCCCTGTCATAGTTCCTAATTCTCTCTTTTCTAGTCAGGTTGGTGCTTTTCTATTTTTGGTATAACCCTTAGAGACGGGCACCTATTATGCTGTAAACCATCAATCATGCAAGATGAAATGGCCCAAGTTCATCATACAAGTATCAGCCTGGGAATGGTTTGCGGCTTGATCTATCCAGTTAGACTTTTTTCTTTCTACAATATCTTAGGTAGTTTCGTGTAAACTTGGTAGGTATTTGTAAACAAGTCACGTGCGCAATGGCGTGCCATCATCACCAAAATTCCCCTGTAAATTAACGATTTGGATAAGATTCCCCAGATATCAACTGACATAAAGAGCATGCTAAGGTCACATTCGAAGGTTTCTTGGGAAATGAGGCCCCTTACTGTTTCCTGTCTCGATTAGAAAGTTCATTTGTATAATTAACTCTTGGAAGTAACCCCAAATATATGGTAAGCCCAGTTCCTCCAATATTCTTATTACATTGATTGCTTCAGCATCTGCTTCAATGTCTGTTTTGCGATTATAGAGCAAAGGAGAGCTACACTCTACCGAAGAAGAGATTATTGACGTCGGCTCAGATAATTAAGGAGCACGGTGCTAAGCTAGGCGGCACCTACCAAGATATGACCTCTCAATAGTCTCGAAAATTATATTTTAGAACTCTGCATTTCGATACATCTCTTTCAAGATATATTTGTCTGCCACCATACATAGAAGAGTTTTCTTGAAAATATGTCGCTAAATCTCACACCTCACACTAGTTTCTCGTAATTTTGTTGAGTTGAGAAGAGAGCTGAAACTATGATCCATTGTCAAGTTTCCCCTAAAAGGGAGTAAAATTCAGACCTCTTTTGAGGATCCCCTCCGGGTGCTCTTTAGGATCCTAGAGACGTTTATATCATATCCGTTAATCGTATATTGTACGGTCAGATTTTGTTAGATACTGTGTTTAATATTAAATAAAAATTTCAAAATAATTTTTGACTGTACGATATACGATATAGATAGGATGTGAGGATCATGGATTCAAATCCCTTTTTCTGTACTCCTGTCTGTTCCTAATATTTAGATCATATAATATGTCTAAATCTTTTGCATAAGATATCAGCAAAAATCCGCTGAAAGTTACTGATTAAACGAGCATAGAAAGGAGAGAGTGTAGGAATCATTTCCTAAAAGAACAGAAAGAGGGAATCAAAAGTGCGTATAGAGGGGCAATTACCCCCATTTGAATTAGAATAATACCATAAGAACACGAGGGAATAAAAGGTGGGTATAGAGGGGCAATTAACCCCATTTGAATTAGAATATACCATAAGAACACGATTTTGTAAGAAAAGAAACACATGTCATAAAAAAAAGTTCTAGTCACTTAATAATACGATCTAGTAGTATTTTTCTTTATTTTGTATGTGAGAGATCTTATATTTGATTCTCATCAAAGGTGAATTTGAACCATAATATTATGGTTCGTCCATTGTGAAGTTTAGCCCACTCTCCCACATCTTTAATGTAAATAGTATCGTTTGTTAAAAAACAAGAGGTTCTTTTAGGAGTATGATTCTCTCTCCTTCTAGTCTTATCCCCTTCCTTCTTCTCTTCTCACACTTTACTTTTTGTCTTATTGTCTCTGTAAAAAAATCAATATAAGATGTTGACGTAGTTTAACCATAACCGTTCAAATAAGAAGAAATGAAATGAGAGAGAGATTAGAAAGGTAGAGAATTCTCCGTTGTTTTGCATCCAACTTCTAGCAAGTCCAGGAGCCAGTCAACTTCACCTCTCAATCTGTGCACTCTCATACTCAAGATTTTGCGGTTTTTTATACCAGATCACAAAGAATTTATATGATTTATATTATTCTTGAATAATAATAAGGGATGTTCAATAATTATTTTGTTTTTAGTTTTTTTTTTTTTGAAAATCTTGTTTGGTAACTATTTTCAACTTTTCAATTTTTAAAAAAATGAAAAGTGTAAACTACTTTATTGTGTTTCCAAAATTTGAACTTGAGTTTTTATTTTTAATTTTTTCAATTTTCATTGTTTTTGAAAATTGAAAATTAAAAGTAGTTACTAAACAAGTTTTTAGTTTAAAAAAAAAAATTCAAAACCAAAATGAAAAATTGAAGATGAAATGGTTATCAAACGACCTATAAGAAAATCACATTTTTTTTATTACATTGGTGTACCATTTAATATGATAATTGATGTGTACATGACACGCTAATAATAAATATATTTATACATCACTTGACACATTATATAGTCCACCAATATGCTTCAAATATGCGGTCTCCTTACCATTATGTTTTATTGTCTAACTAATTTTGGATAGAGCATTTTATAAATTTCTAAAGAAACAAAGAATTTTTTTCACTACAACCAAACTAAGCAGCAAATAAAATACGTTTTAGGTTTTTTTTTTTTTTTTGTCCGTGAGTTCTCTTAATGCAAAATGTTTATATTACACGGTGACTTGGCTTTACTAATTTACATATAACATGAGAGAGTATTAGAGGGGGATAAATCAAGGAATAGTTGGTTTACTTTTTTTAAGTAATAACCACACAAGACTTCAATTTTTAATTTTAAAAAAAAAATCATAACAAAAATTGAAAAAAAAGAATTAACAAAACTGACACGAATTTGCTACCAAACAATTTAACACGCGTCGTGGTGAGGACACCATGCGTGACCACGTGGCCAACAGTACAGAATCTCATCTAATCCAATATATTCTCTGATTGCAAATTCCATCCCACAGAAAGAATACAATTAGGGAAAAAGATGACAGAAGTGTTGTGATGCTGCCATGGTCTGCCTTGTTTCCAACTTTCAATAGCTTTAGCAAAAGCAAAAGTTCATGTCTCCTTCATATCCACACCAAAAAACATCCAAAGACTCCCCAAAATCTTACCAGATTTACAACCCTGTGCAATTATTCCCCATTCCATTTCCACCGTTGGATCCCGGCTTATTGCCGGAAGGAGCAGAGGGCACGGTGGACCTCCCCTTTGAAAAAACTGACAACTTGAAGATTGCATACGACCTCCTGTAAAAACCCATCAACCAGTTCATTGCGGATCGATTGCCTGATTGGATCATAACCGACTTAGCTGCTCATTGGGTCGTAGAGACTGGCAAAGAGTACGGTGTTCCTCTTGTCTATTTTTCTGTTTTCTCTGCTGCTACAAGGGCCTTTGTTAGTTCAGCTCAAAACCTCTCGGGTGGTAATACAAATGATGTTCTGCCGTCGCCGAAAACCCTTACTTTGCCGCCGGATTTGGTTATTTTAAGTCAACGGTCGCGTTCCAAGGGCAGGAGGCTGGCTTTTATGGAGTGAATGATTCCGGGATTAGTGATGCCGAAAGGAGGGCCACGACTCTATCTTCTTGTCCAGTTCACGCCATTCGGAGTTGCGAGGAGTTTGAAGGAGAGTACTTGGAACATATAAGAACAACTCCGGGAAACTTGTGATTCCTACTGGTTTGCTTCCTCCTGAGATACCTGCAAAAGGGGTAAAAAGGGAAATTTCCACTGCTGATGGGATCTTTGAATGGCTCGATAAGCAAAAAACCAGGTCAGTTGTGTTTGTAGGGTTTGCGAGTGAGTGTAAGTTGAGTAATGAGCAAAAATTCAAAAGGGCTCAGATAATTAAGGAACACGGTGCTAAGATATGACCACTCAATAGTCTCGAAAATTATATTTTGGAATGCTACATTTCGGTACAGAGAAGATTTTTTCATGAAAATATGAGTCACACTAGTTTGTCAAAGGTTTTGTTGAGTTGAGAAGAGCTCTGAAACTAGGATCCATTGTGAGGTATCCATTGCTATGTGGTACATGTAGAAACGTTGACACTGACTTTTTCGTTAACACAAGTCTCAACGTTAAACCTTTCGTTTTTACTCTTTGATCCAAGGTTAAACCTCTTATGTGTTGTAAAAAATTATTTGGGGATCATCATTCATTGTATGGGGGTGAGATTGGAATGTTGCGTAAATCGGGTTTCACAAATCTAACCACACATTGTCATGCAATTATGATTGGTTAAGTCTTTTTATAGAAAAGAGAATCAAAACAATTGCAAAATTTTCGTGTAAGATAACCGCAGATTCCGCTAAGAGCAATTCCACCCCTGTGGACTTTGCGCCAGCATCCAGCGCATTTATCCACTCAAATGAACAGTAATAGACTGGAGTGAACAGTAATAGGCCAAGGCATCTCCACCCCTAAAAAAATGCGCTGGCACCCAGCGTATTTATTTGGTGTGTTTTTTTTTTAAGTTTATTTTGGATAAGATTTTTAACCCATTTAAAATAAAGAATAAAAAAATAAAATAGTTTTAATCTCGTCACGCCACGTGTCATTATCTGAACGTACTATTTTGTGAATAGATTTTCGATATTATTTTCAACCAATCCCGACACGCCACGTGTCACTTCCGTGGTACAATAATTTAGCCAAGATTTCGATAATTGAAATGTGGTGTAAAGGTGAAAGATGAGGGTTAGGTATTTATAGGAAAAAAAATAACATTTTTCAATTATTTCTGTAATTTTTTTAAAATTTTCTATATTTTTTAATAATTTTTCTGTATTTTTTAATATTTTTTAATGAATTTTAATATAGTTAATTAATCTGGACCGTTGGATTTGAAAAATATTCAAATCCAAGAGCCAGGGACTTGCCACGTGGCCAACGGTCATATTTCTGACCGTTGGGGCCTTTTTTTTTTTTTTTTTTTTTTTTACTTTTTTGTAAAAAGAACGTGGACCGTTGATTTTTGATCTGACGGTCCATGTTAAAAGTAAAATTTAAATTTTTTTTACCGTTGGAAATCCAACGGCACTGAGGAGGGCCACGTAGCCCTATTCCGGGTTCTCCACAAGTGGGCTGACAAGCGGGCCCCCCCCCCGCCTGCAACCCGGTTCCCTACTCGCGCTTCTGCGCGTTTGTGCTGCACGCGCCTTCTAAACAGGCCGGTCTCTGGGTATGTCCGAAATAGGCTGGCCCGTTGCCTAGCTTGGGCTGTGTCCCAGGCTCTTTCGCGGGCTGGAGCAACTTGACAAGGGGCTGGGCTGTTTTTTGGACTTGGTGTTGGGCAATTTCCACTGGGGTGGAATTGCTCTAAAGGGTACTAATCAAACATGTCTATAAAAAGGAGAGAAGAATTGCAACTATCATTTCTTAAAGGAGAATAAAGGAAAGAAGGAAAGAAAAAGTGGGGAAAGAGGGGGGCGGCCAACGGTGAAACCTAACCCCATTTGGATTAGAATAATACTATCAAGAACACGTTACTGTATGAAAAAAAAGCACATCAACAACAGAGGTTCTTTTGTAGGGGTGGAAAAAATTCCCAAAAATCCCGAACCGAACCGAAAAAATTCCGATCCCAAACCAAAAATTTTCCAAATTGAAATTCTTGAAATTTTTGGGATGCTATCCCAAACCGATCCCGAAATTTTGATACGGGATTCAGGATTGACTTCTCGATATTTCGGGAATCCCATACCGAACCGAAAATATATATTATTAATTATTATATATATATATTTATACATATATATTATTCTTTTATAATTGATTATGGACTTTATGGTTTGAATTTATTACAGAGAATGGAATATGTTATGAATTATGATATGACATAAGCAATGTTGTTTTATTTATGTCGAAACCAAGAATGTTGGATCAGCTAGTTACTATGCTTGAGTCTCTTTACTGTTTACACCAATAAATGGAGCTTGTTGGCATTGTAAATATGTATTTTACATATGTAGATTACTGGTAAATGGACAACAAAGCAGCACAAGGTAGCAATGCTTGTCAATCAGGTTAAGAGCCTTCAAGCAAAGTTTACAGTTTGCAATCCAATGCTTGTGCCCCGATATGAGATTATATTTGCATTTAAACTAGCAAGAGATGTGAATGAGACTTGCTTGATATGTTTGCACAATCTAACAATTCATTCAATGAGTTACATGAGCATAATATGTCAAATTTTAGTCCAAAAGCCCAAAAGCCCAAAAGCCCAAAACCATTTCGGGATTCCCGAAAATTTTATTTGGGATCGGTATTCAAATTGGGATTCTCGAAAAATTTGGTTTGGGAATCGGGACAAGGGTTTCGGTATGGGATCCCATACCGAACCACCTCTATTCTTTTGCATTCAACTTCTAGCAAGTCCAACAGACAATCAGTTATGGTGTTTCTTGATAATTATTTTGTTTTTAATTTTACTTTTTTTTAAATTGAAAATTTCTTGATAATTATTTCGTTTTTAATTTTACTTTTTTTTAAAATTGAAAATTTAAATCTTGTTTGGTAATTACTTTAGTAGTTTTTTAAATTTGGTCTTAAGTTTTCACTTTTTTTGTTTTCAATTTTTTTTTTTAAACTGAAAACTTAAAACAGTTACCAAATAAATTTTTAGTTTTCAAAAAAGTGAAAACCGAAATTTGAAATGAAAAGCTGAAAACAGAAAACGAAAAACGGCCTCTAAGAGCAACTCCACCCTTGGAGCCCTCCCCTTGGCAATCCACTATTCAATCCACCTAGTGAACAGTAACTACCCTTAATAAACAGTAATTGCCATTTGCATCTCCACACTTGGAACCCTCCCCCTGGCAATTGATAATAAAATATTAATATTTTTTTCTCACCAAATCCATAAAATATTATTATTTTTCCCTAATTTTGACCGGTCCCCCCTTCTCTCTCTCTCTCTCTCTTTCTCTCTCTCTCACAGCAGCAGCCATGGAAGCTTCACCAGCTCTGTCGCACATAGGCTTGGCAGGCCTCGCCGTCATGGGGCAAAATCTCACCCTCAACATCGTCGAGAAAGGGTTTCCAATCTCCGTCTACAACCCTCGCGATTTTGTGCTCTCCATCGAACGGCCCAGATCCGTTATTATCCTCGTCAAAGCTGGAGGGGAAGGAAGGCAAGGAAGGGAAGGAGGACGCAGAGAACACTGAGTGCATGCACCAATGCCGCACATCAGCCATACATCACACAGCCCTTAGGCTCTCGAGCTGGCAATCCCCGCCGGGCCTGTCGCTCGGGCCTGACCTGTCCCTCGAGCTCGCATACGCTGGAGCCCCATCCTCTGGCTGTCGGGCCCTTTCTCTTCGCCTATCCCCCGAGCAACCAGCAACGCTGGAGTTGCTCTAAGGAAATCACATTTTTATTACATTGATATACCATCTGATTGGGTAAGTGATGTGCACATGCCACGGTAATTAATAATTTTATTTCATTGAGTGGCAGTTGTATATGTAACACTTGGCACATTAGATGATACATCAATATGATTTAAATATGTAGTCTTCCTACTATTACATTTTATTTCTTAACTAATTTTGGATAGAACTTTTATAAATTTCTAAAGAAAAAAAAATATTTTTTTTCACTAAAATCAAACTAAGCAGCAAATAAAACACGTTTTAGGTTTTTTTTTCTCTCTTAATGCATAATGTTTATATTACATCCTCACTTGGTGTTAATTACATATAATAATATGAGAGTATAGAGGCGGCATTTTTCCAACTTAAAGTATAACGTCAATAATTAAATACATATATTATAACACAATGAAATTATTAAGAAGCCGTTTGATAAGTATTTCGTTTCCAGTTTTCATTGTTTTGAAAACTGAAAATTAAAATCTTATTTGATAATTACTTTTAATTTTCAGGTTTCAAAAAATACAAACTAAAAAACTAAAAAGTGAAAACTAAAGGAAAATTTAAAAAAAATAAAGGAATGTTGTGACTTGTTTTATTTGAGAGAAAGAGATGGTGCAGTGCGGCATAGACAGAAAATGAGAGACGAAGAACACGCTTGAGAAATTCTGTGTGTTATTCTATATACCTTGTGCCTTTATTTATAGTAAATTAATAACGATTTTTTACCTTGTAAGTAATACAAAAAAGATCTTCTAGTATCCTATATACAATCTACAAATGATTTACAAGATTGCTAGAATTATATTCACAACAAGAAAGTAGTTTTCAGTTTTTATTTGAAAGTAGTAATCGAACTAGATTTCAATTTTTGCATTTTTGAAAATTAAAAAATAAATTAAAATCTAAAATGAAAAGATGATCAAAACCAACACGGGACGTTACTAAGCAATTCAACACGTGTTATGGCCGGAACACCGTACGCGAACACGTGGCCAGCGGTACAGCATGTCATTTAGTCCAATAAACCGACAATCTCGTTCAGAACTACATTTTAATTCTCTCATTGCAAATTCCATCCCACAGAAAGAATACGATACAATTATGGAAAAAGATGATCATCTTAGCGTTGTGATGCTGCCATGGTCTGCCTTTGGCCACATGATGCCTTTTTTCCAACTTTCAATAGCTTTAGCAAAAGCGAAAGTTCATGTCTCCTTCATTTCCACACCAAAAAACATCCAAAGACTCCCCAAAATCTTACCAGATTTACAACCCTTTGTGCAGTTAGTCCCCATTCCATTTCCACCGTTGGATCCCGACTTATTGCCGGAAGGAGCTGAGGCCACCGTGGACCTCCCCTTTGAAAACACTGACAACTTGAAGATTGCATACGACCTCCTGCAAACACCCATCAAGCAGTTCATTGGGGATCGATTGCCTGATTGGATCATAACCGACTTTGTTGCTCATTGGGTTGCAGATATTGGCAAAGAGTACGGCGTTCCACTTGTCTATTTTTCTGTTTTCTCTGCTGCTTCAAGGATCGTTTATAGTCCAGCTGAAAATCTCTACGGTTGTAATACAACTGATGTTCTGCCATCGCCGGAAAGCCTTACTTCGCCACCGGATTTGCTTACTTCTCAGTCAACTGTCGCGTTCCGGGAGCGCGAGGCGGTCCATATACACGCAGGCTTTTATGGAGTGAACGAGTCCGGGATAAGTGATGCCGAAAGAAAAGCCAAGATTCTATCAGCTTGTCAAGTTCACGCCATTCGGAGCTGCGATGAGTTTGAAGGAGAGTACTTGGAGGCGTACAAGAACAACTGTAGGAAGCTTGTGATTCCCACAGGTTTGCTTCCTCCTGAGATACCTGCTAAAGGGGTAGAAAGGGAGATTTCCAGTGACGATGGGATCTTTGAATGGCTCGATAAGCAAAAAACCAGGTCAGTTGTGTTTGTAGGGTTTGGGAGTGAGTGTAAGTTGAGTAAAGCGCAAGTCTTTGAGATAGCTCATGGGCTGGAGCTATCACAACTCCCTTTTCTTTGGGCACTCAGAAAACCCAATTGGGCAACCAGTGAAGCTGATGCTCTGCCTCTCGGGTTTGTTGACCGTATATCAGATAAGGGGCTTGTTTGCTTCTTATGGGTGCCCCAAATGGAAATCTTGGCACACCCATCAGTTGGGGGTTCTTTGTTTCACTCTGGATGGGGATCAATAATTGAGACTCTGCAATTTGGGCATGTTCTTGTTGTGCTACCATTCATTATTGATCAGCCTCTCAATGCAAGGCTTTTGGAGGAGAAGGGTATGGCTGTCGAAGTGAAACGACTCGGAGATGGGTCGTTTAGTAGAGATGACATAGCCAAAACACTGCGGCATGCGATGGTGGAAGAGGAAGGAGAGCCGTTGAGATCCAATGCTAGGAAAGCTGCAACTGTTTTTGGAGATCACAAGCTGCACCAAGACCACTACATTGGCCAGTTTGTCAACTTTCTCAAAAACAACACTACAGAAAGGTCATCCTGTTCTTAGATGTCCCAATTATATTAGCTAATAATTTAGAATGGCGCCAAAAATTTCACAGCATTGGAGATGCTGGATTAATTTTGGATATGAATTACTTAATTAACCTGTGTGTTTCTATAAGCTTTCAAGTCATTTTTGTGGTGGTCAATATAAGCTGGACTAATTTTATGATGCTTGTCTTGTCAGTTATATTCTAAAATCACAAGAACAACAAGACATTAGGATCACAAATTCAATTAGCCGAATTACAATAAACCAATTACATTCAATTTATCTGTAGAAGAGAAATTAGCACATGTATAAGAATGTTTTCTACTCTCTCCATTATATATTCTTGCTATCACACCTAGCTCGTAATTGTCGCAACAAACGAAGAATTGCTCCTCAAGCCAATCTCTTAGAAGATCAACTTATTGCTATGGTGTCAGAGGTCTGAGGGGTGGTGGGTGGACACTAGCGCTTCATGCCATATCTGCTGCTATGATCGCGGGCTTTTTAAGTGCTACAGTGAGGCGGAAGATGGAAGGGTTTTGTTAGTTGACTCTCACTCAACTCATATTACTGAAGTCGGGGGAGTCGAGCTTAAGTTCATCTCAGGGAAGACTGTGATATTGAAGGAAGTGCTGCATGTTCCAGAGATTAGGAAGAATTTGGTTTCCGGTTACCTGATCAACAAAGCTGGGTTCACTCAACAATTGGGACTGACATGTATAATCTCACAAAGAATGGTGCCTTTATTGAAAAAGGGTATGCTACAGATGGAATGTTCAAACTGAATGTTGATGTTATGAATAAAATTGTTGCTTCTGCTTACATGTTGTGTTCTTTTAATGTTTGGCATGCTAGGTCATGTCCCGTAAATAAGAAACTAGTTAAACAAATGAGTAGTGTAGTCAAGCAAAAATCACGAGAGCACCACACCAATCCGTGATTAGAGAAACTGAACTACTTGATTTAATCTACTCCGATATATGTGAATTTGATGGAGTAATCACAAGAAATGGGAAACGTTACTTCATCACCTTTATAGATGATTATTCAAATTATTGTGTTGTTTATTGTATGTAAAACAAGAGTGAAACTCTTGACATGTTCAAACTTTTCTTAATTGAAGTGGAGAATCAGTTTAATCAAAGGGTTAAAAGGTTTTGTAGCGATATGATTTTTGAATATGAGTGATAGGGATTTTTACCACCTGCAAAAGTAAGGATAAAAATACTTGCAATAGTACAAGGTTGTCATAGTATAGCAGCTCAAGCAAGGTCGTTTTCCACAAGGATTGAACAAATAATTTATGTTAAAATCAAATCTTAATTAATTATTTGAAAACAAAGTTTAGAAAAAGGTGATTTAATGACCTAAAATATTAAAAACGAATTTAATTAAAAACAATTAAACAAAATTAGCTACGTAAATAAAACAAAAGAAAATAGTTTTGAAAACAAATTTGAGCACTAGGGTTACGCTGTCACATTGACAATCCTACGTAGTTCTTCCAATTACTTATAAGTTATACATGCATATTTGAAGATTAGGTTTTCCTAAAGTATGCCCTACTTGGAACCTCCAACATATAACGTATATCTAACATGCAACCCGTCCATGGTGTCCAGATCGAATGTGAACGTGCAAGATTCATTAAGTTTTATGAAAACCTTTTGAAAAACCATATAACCCTTAAAATGTGTCGTCCATCCTAAGAGGTTACACATATTAACCACAAGAAGCCATCACCAATTCCAGGGACAACCCTCCGCCAAAATTGCATCAAATTACTTTTTTAAATATCTTAATGGTGGCCAATCATCAAGACAATTAGATAGTTTAAAGCACAATGATTAATAATTCAAAACTTGCATGCATAATATCATAAGTAAATTGAAAAGAAACTACATATTCTTGTTAAGGCTCGTGGCCTCACCCTAGCAAAAAGGATTAGTTAAGCATATTCATAATTAAAATCAAAAGAATTATATTAAACTAGAAAAAGAATGAAAACACCTTGTAGAATAAAGTCTTGAAATCTCTAAGCTTTGCCCAAAGTCTTCTCTCCAAAAGTTGCATACGATATATCCCCTCCAATTGGAATCACTTCAAAATTCATCTATTTGAATACTTTTTGCTCCAGAGGAAATCGAATGTTCTACATTGAAAATATATAACAAAGTATCAAAATCTACCAAAATAACCAATAAATTATAACTAAGATTAGGGTAAAATATATAGTATAATATCGCGTCATCAATGAGTCTAATGCCTTCAATGAACACTGTAAAAACCTAGGTATTCTACAGGAAACCATATATATGTGAGATATGTATATGATTTGCATTGTGTTAGTGGTGCAATTTCCATGGTGATTATGAAAATTCCGATAGTAGGAATTATTATTTGCATTGATATTGCATTATTCTCTAAGTTCTTTGAATAATGAGTAAGTTATGTGGAATATACATAATCATCATGAAATGAAGTGAACTTGGTTTATTTGAATGTGAAGGAATTTATTTGGATATGAGCATTTGACTCAAGCCTCGGATAAATCTTAAATGGGATTGATATTATGTTATGAGTTATGAAAATATTTGAATGTTAAGATGATAATGGAATTGTGACATGTAGATGGAAGAGTTGTATTATACTAGTGCCAGTGAGAAATATTGAATTGGGTAGAAAATGTCGTGTATGTTGAATTGGGTGAAAAAGGCCCGTTGATGTCGATTTGGGTGTGATAGCCCGTGGAATGGGAGGATGAGTAATATGGGCACAAAGACCCGAGGATGTGTGATATGGGCAAAAGACCCGAAGATGTGTGATGTGGGCAAAAAGGCCCGAGGATGTTGATTTGGGCAAAAAACCCGTGGATATTGATTTGGGCAAAAAAAAAAGCCCGTGGATGTGGATTTGGGCCAAATGACCAATGGAATGTGGAAAAGTGATTGAATGGGCATAAAGACCCAGTGTTTTCGGGAGAAAAGCTCCATGTGTGGGTTGTGAGAATGAATTATTGAAGTAATAAGAATATGTGATGTGTATTGGCTAGGTATATTACAATATTTTCCAATCTACTAGTAGCTGATTGAAAAAAAAAATGGTGGTGGAAACATTGTTTTGACAGTGATCATAAAGATTTTTTCATTTATTATTGGTGGACATGAATGAAAATATGGAATGAGATCCTGAGTTCGTTTAATATAAACGTTTTCCAGTTGAGTTTTTATGTTTGATGAGGAGAATTGATGGGGAAAGTTTATAAATTACAAATTTGATTGGTTTGGTTTGCCATTAACGAATTATGGCGTGAAATTCTGATATTTTGTTAGCCACGATAGTCATGGCTTAAAATTTGACATTTGATTTTGCCAATATTGTTTATGACCAGAATCTCTGATATTGGTGTTGCCAAAAGAAATGGTAAGTGGTATTACCAATAATTATGATTTAAATTTCCAATTAGTGTGATTGGGATTTCGTATGAAGATTCATCGAATGAGAATGAAATCATAAACTGAGGTTATGTTTTGGTTATTATAATTTGAAATGGTGGAAAGACCATGAAGTTTTCTTCATTTATTATTGGTGGATATTGATGTGAAAATTAACTTAACACACAAATTAAACCCTCTTGTTGTCAAATTGTAGTATAAATGCAAGTAGGGATCGTTCTAAACCGGGGATTAGGAGGGCTTGCTAAAACCTCTAAACTAACTTAAAAACATATAAAAAAAAGTTAAAAACACTAAACTAGACTCGAAGAACTTAAAACAAACTCAAAGGACTCAAAACAAGCTAAAAACGCTCAAATCTGCCTAAAAACACAAACTGGGCAGATTTGGACTCTAACACACTTTTGGGACACCTAAAAACACAAATCAAAACAGATTTTAACTAATAAAACACTTTAAAGTAAAGGGGGTTTTGGTTTTGAAGAATTTGAAAACAAAACAAGTAAATTAGAGAACTAATGAAATCTGCACGAATTTGAGTAAATTGAATGGATGGAAGGCTAGCTAGGAGGTTCTTCTCCACACATGACATACTTGCACATAAACCAATTTTCAGTTGTTCTTTTGATCAATCATGAAACTCAACACCCCAAGTTAATTAAGTCCACTTAAATTAACCTTCAAGTTCTCCTTAAGTTATTGAATTGGATGGGAAAGCGCATACAACAATTCAAGCATTCTTCAAAAGTTCTTTACGTGAACATCACAATAAAGATACAATCAAAGATCATTAAGCATTATGAAAACTATAAGTATTGACGAGGCATTCGTTACTATGATGAGCATGAAACTCCTGCTAAGAATTTATTTAACGCGATCGTTTATAAGCGACCTCCACTACTTGTGAATATAAGTTTGTAACTATTAGGTGAAACTCCCTTATACTCTAGCATCATATTCATGCATGCAAACTAAGTGTGCACTTTTAATAAACATACACGAATAAGTTATCAATCAAGCAGTTAAACAAATTGAATTCACAACTTATGAAATCACAACTGAAGGTAATCAAATCATATTGCAAGCATGAACATGGTTTCGAATTCCCCCTAGCTAAGGGGGGTTTAGTTCCTCATACTCACAAAGCAAAGATAAACAAATTTAGACATTGAAAACAAAAGAATGAAAACACCTAAAAACGCTCCAACAATCAAACTTGAATGGCAAGCACGTCCAAGGGTCCTCATTCTTCTCTTTGTTGCGGCACAAGGTGTGGTTTGATGGATAAGTGGTAAATTATGGTGGTGGATGGATATAGGTGAGTTATGGTGAAGGGTGGATGAGTGGATTGTGTTCTATTTTTGGTTGGATGAGTGCCACGGCAAGGGAATGGAATTGTATGTGTTTGTGGGATGTGGGAATATATGGATGAATGTAAAGTCTTTTTCTATGGATCCCTAGTTATGGTGGATGGTGGATGTATTTATAGGCTAGGGAGAGGAGTGTATGGAGTTGTAATGAGTGGATGTAATGGTAGGTGAATGTGTTGGGTGGTTGTAATGAGTGGATGTAGTGGTAGGTGAGTTGTAATGAGTGGATGTAGTGGTAGGTGAATGTGTTGGGTGGTTGTAATGAGTGGTTGTAATGAGTGGATGTAGTGGTAGGTGAATATGTTGGGTGAAATGAGTAGATGTAGTGGTAGGTGAATGGATGTGTTGGGTGAAATGAGTGTGCTAAAATGGTTATTTATAGGGAGAGGATGATGCATAAACTTCAAATTTCGTCCATTCCTTTTGCTCCAAGCATATGCTATCCATTCCATGCCCAAAAATGCTCCAAAATGCACTTCTTTGCCACATTAACCCTTTGGACCTACAAACACACGAAAATAGCTTAAAATACTAAAATAACTACGAACTAACAACATAAATGCCAAGAAACAAGCTAACTAAGTCGCATAAATATGCTCCTATCAGATATGAGTAAAATTATGGAATGAAGCATTGAGTTCATTTAATATAAACGACTTCCCAGTTGTGTATTTACGGATGATGGAAATAATTGTTGAGGAAAGCTTGTAAATACAAACTGGATTGGTTTGGTTACCATAGTCATGAGTTATTATTGTTAGATTTGATATTGCGAACAAACCTGAGGAAGAACACATATTTTCATGACTATGTGATTAACAAGGATTAGTTTTGTTGGCCAATAAAGTTGTACAATATATAAATTCCTCTTCCTTGATTGATGAAATGTGAATAGTGCTCTGGAAGTGTGGCTCACAAATTTATTCTACACTTCGAAGCAATTTCAAAGAGAACCAATAGAAAGAAAGAAAAAGATAAGGTTTTAAATTTACTATGG